TTTTTTTTTTTTTTTTTTTTGTATTTTATTTGTGTAGTGTATTGTTATGCTAGTGGCGGATTTCTAGTCAGGTCTTCTGACCTGTCCTCCCACTTTTTCAGATGGCTATTGTGTTTCGCACATTTGTGCATTTTGATTTATAATACTATTACTTATCGTTTCGGGAAAAAATATGACATTATATGACAACAACGTTTGTAATAAAATAATAATAAGTATTATATGATAAACAAAAATAAGTAAAGCTGTTATTTTTCTCTCATGTCAAAGATAAATAAATATAACTAAATTAAATTTATATTAGTAAAAATGTATTATTGTGACAATATATTACTTATTTTAATGTTAGGGCTACCTAACTTGCTCATATTTAATGTTTTGGCTAAAAAAATTGATTAACTTAGATGAAAAATAAATTATAGCGTTATTGTTTTTAAAATTAACAATAATTAAAGAAGGTAAAAAATAAATGATAAATTAATATTTTTTAGACTTAAGCAAAGCAAACATATAAAAATAATTCATTTAATATCTATAGTCGCCCTGACTTCCGGCACACGAGGAAAGAGAGAGCAGCATATGAAAGGAAAGGGCTTACGACGAATGCCCTGAGGATTCTACGACTTCGATGGGTCTCACTTTGCTCTCCTCACTCTCCTTTCCCTGCTCCAGTCATCACTTTGAGTAAACGAGCCCATTTTTAAGGACGGTATCAGTAAGGGTACAACCGCACAACAGATCATATTCATAGCCCCCATTTTTGAAGAGCTGAACCTAAATTATGAATCCTCTTGCAACCGCCCAACTGCAATACCTGCCAAATTGAGTTCCATGGCGGCTGCACGTCTCCAACTGCCGCGATTCAAGGGAACCGCCTCAATCCCCCTCCGCCTCTTCTCAACTTCCGCTGCGCTGATAGAGTGTCCGTGGACTCGCTTCACAGAGGTTTCTGATTCGTCCGACGGCGAAAGCACCGTCTACAAGGAGGCTCTCAAGCTCCAGCGGCCATCCACCATTAGATATGACGAGAGATTGGTCAACTCAGTGAGCTTAATTGGTCGAATATTTCGCCCTCTCCAAAAATGTAAGTCCAAAAGCTTCGGCGTCTACACGACCCTTAGTGTTAGTGCGTCAACTGGCAACTTTAGGTGAGCGATCCTTCTATCTCTATGTTTTTTGTTTTGTTTTTGTTCTTTCAATGAGTATTTCTTTAGTTATTTTTGGTTTCATATGCATGACTACTATCAGTGTATCGCTCAATTTTCGGGATGAAATGGCGGAGATGACGCTCCAGCATCTGAAGCTTAATGATTTCGTGTACGTTTCCGGTTGTCTAGGATCGTACATGAAGGCTGATGAGAATGGGAAGTCAATGAACCGGTATCAGGTTTGAAATGGCTGTTTTCTAGTAACTTATTTGGTTGTGGTTGGAAATGGTTAATATAATTAGCTTGAGATGATTTTCTTATTCTGAAAAACGGTTTCCCTTCTTTTCAATTTTCCATTTCTTTTACAAATAATATTTCTAGGAGGAGCTGGAGTAGGGGAATAAGAACATAGACGTGCTTGAATCATGACCTGTGGACTTACAGGGGTATTAGCAATACCACTGGAGGCATAATTCGTGGCATGTTCTGAATCTTGATGGTTGTAATAAAGAAATGTTTATAAGAAAGGATATTGACATCGTATTTATTTTATGACCATGCATTCTAGGACTAGTAGGTTAATTCTTGAACGTCCTTAGGCTTACATCTTTGGAAGGTGGTATGATGTCCAATATATTCTTAGTTGAAACCTTTTTAGATCTTTTGTTGTGGCTGGTTATTGCCTTATAGTATTGTTCTTGAGGAAAAAACAGCAAACGGAATGAATATAACAAAAAACTATAGTTGATCAGACTTTCTAAAAAAATTGGCCGTCCAGTTTTTGCGTGTTTATCATCAGCATCCTCAAATCATTCTTCTGATTTCATCACCAGGTCAGATCTTTGAAAGCCGAGCTATTTAACATGACAACCATTGAATGAAACCTTTCAGCATGATCATTATTTTATTTGGTTGTGAGATGCTTATTCGCAAACAGCAAGGCATTCTTAGTTGAGATAAAGTTTATTAATGGAAAGTTCTATACTTCTAAGCAGTTTGAAATTCTTATGTCGCTATTTCATTATTATGAGTTAATAGCCAGATTGTTATTTTAGGCGGTCTCAAATCACCACTCAGTTCTTTGTTCAGTGGAATAGAGATCAATTAGCTTGTGTATTTGATAGTAGTTGGTGGTCGTTGGCATGCTGTTGAGCTGAATAATGATGCTTCTGCTCAAGTCCTATGAATTTGAGAGGAATATCAACTCTGGCAGGACTTTTCAGTTTTACTTAAAAATCAAACACTACATACATGTAAGGTTAATATTAGCACTATTATATCGCTTCATGTCAAATTGGTGACATGCTTAGTATTGAAAGCCACAGGAGATTAATTTTGAATCACTGAGTTGTAACAAATATTCAATTTCACTGAAAGCTCATATCGTTCTGGCTTATTGCCTACTTCATTATGAAGTTCAATATTTTATGTGTACAAGCTATTGATCTTCAAATTATGAAGGTATCTTTACCATGTCCAACGACTTCACATTTATTTAATCATGCACATTGAGGAAAGATAGTTCCTATCAGTACTAACGATGCATGTTTCTTAAAACCTCGCCAGTGTTTTTGTGTGTTTAGTTTTTGTCAAGTACTTTGTTCCAAACAACTTACGTTTTAGTTGCACCTTTCATACAATACATACGTCAACATCAGGGAGACATTATTCAATGGTTTACGGTCTTGGGCATGGTGACATGCAAATATGTTTATATAATTTTTTTAACAATGTTATGTTTCCAGGATCAAATTCTGACATTAAAAAGTTACCGTTCTGATTTTTAGCTTACTTTTTTGTGTGAGAAACCCTTGATACAAAGTTCTCCATAGGAAGCTCCGTTAACTTTCTGATCCGATGTCAGATATAAACAAATGGGTTGCAAATTGCAGTGCTGCTTTATCATTCGTTCTCATTCAAAGGATTACATCCACACAGAATAGGTTCAGATAGGTCTTGTTTCTTCTCCACGAGTTAACTGATCATATCAGACTCGATTTTATCACATTTACTTGATCCTTGGTATCCCTAATGTAAATGTATCATATAGAACTGCACATGAATACATTATTGTTTTTTAATCTACAAGTGCACCTCAATTTTTCCTTCTATATGTACTCGTTTTTTCCTTTCTATGGATGTCATATAATTGTATGGTGGAATTGTTACTTGTAGGTAGTTGTTAGAGAGGTAAATTTTGTTAGTCAAGATGGTCTGGGGCCAGCCTACAAGAACCTTATAAAGTTGGGACCAAGTGGTATGGTTTCTTTTACATGTTGCTAAAATTGACTACTGTCTGAGCATTCACATTTTTTTTTTGCTTGTTAGTGCACTGTAACTGTATTTTGGAAAACCAAGCAATTAAGATCGTTTGAAAGCATGATTGATGTGTTTTTTTACCTTTTATGATGGATAACTTATTTTCATAAATTTTTGGGTCCTGACTGCTTATGTTATATATGTCATTTGAAATTTGTATTGAATATTCTTTTTCTCTCTTTTCTTGCCAATTCTTGTTTCCCTGTTTCCTTTTTGCTCGTCATTTTTACTGTTCCTGCTTTTTGATGAATATATGTTATGATCGGTAGTTCCATACGAGGAAATCTTGCAGAAGCGTAGAGATCGTCTTCATTTGTGGCAGATATTCTTCGCAAGCCCATTCGAGTGGTGGGACAATAGAAACTCCAAACTAAACCCGAAATGCCCTGACTTTAAGCACAAGGATACGGGTGAGGTTCTCTGGCTCACAGACAACGATCCTCCTTGGGTCCGTAAACAACTCAAATTGCATGACTCGAGATCATACAGGCAAAGCCGCGAACACAGAAATGCCAGGGCACATCTTTCTCCTTTGGTTTATGAGTGATGATCTAATAATCTTTCTCCTTTGGTTTGTTCCTTTTTTCTTGGGGTGTGTGCATACTGTAATGAAGTAGTGCTACTGATATCAAGCTTTGGTCCGTAAAGCTTTTGCAAAATTGTATGAATAAATATTGAATTTGTAAGGGGAAATTTCATTGGAAGGCCTAACTTTTAGTATGTGTATTAATTTAAGGCTTGAATTTTGTACCTTTTTAAAAGAAGGCTTACATTTTAGAATATTCTTACTTTAAGGCTTACTTTTTAGTTAACTTTTCATTATAAGGCCAACTAACTTTACTTTTTCATATAAATATGTAAAACAACTATTATGTGAATAAAAATATTATTATTATCATTATTATTGTTATTATTTTGTAATTTATATTTTACATACTTATAATAAAAAAATAATAAATATCTTTAGTAAAAATATATTAATAAAAAATGAAAATATATAAATTACAATGATGCGAAACTATATAAATTATATTTATGCAAAAAGTTTAACAATGAAAATTTACATCATTGAAAATAGATGTTTATAGTTTTTTTTTAATAATATAATTTTACTCTTAGTTTCCCATAATTGTAATTCCAATGTTTTATCATTGTATTTTATATAGTTTTATTTTTTATTAATATAATTTTACTAAATATATTTTTTATTTTTTATTATGAGTATTTAAAATTTAAATAATATTAATAATACTTTTATTCACATAATAATTGTTTTACATATTTATATGAAAAAATAAAGTTAGTTGGGCCTTATAATGAAAAGTTAACTAAAAAGTAAGCATTAAAGTAAGAATAACCTAAAATATAAGTCTTCTGCTAAAAAAGTATAAAATTCAGACCTTATTTTAATACATATACTAAAAATTAGACCTCCCGATGGTACGTTTCTCGCGCTCCCTGCATCAATTTTGAGTGAATAATAAGATAAAATAAATACATAAACTCGTACAAGTACTATTTTCTAAGTTCTGGCTTCTACACTGGGAAATATTTTTTTGGGTACATTATATTGGTATCTTTGATTAACAGACATCAAAATTAGTATATTAATTTATAAAAAATATAATAAAAAATACACTAATCATGTGGGAGATAGTAAAGATTGGACTGTTTAGTTTATCATGTGATTGATGCACGAGGGATGGAAATTAAGTTTGTGGATGTTACTGTGAATGAAAAATTGATTAACCAAACAACCAACTTGGTTAAAATTTTGTGTATACAGTCCCCTCAAGTAGGAGAATTAAGCGGTGGGTTATACACTTGAAATCTATATATATAAAAAAAGTTTGAATATTTTTTAAATAATAACTATTTTTTTTCTGTGTGAGAATCAAATTTGAAGTAGAAGATTCTCTCGCATGAGGGCAAATCCTCTCGGATGAGAACAAATTCTTTCTTCTGCAGATACGATCCCTCATCATCGAGGTCTTAGTGCTTAATTTTAGCTTTATTTTCACACTCTCTCATAAACCTTAATTAGGATTATTGGGGCTTTTAGTGGGATTAGGGCTGAGCATGAAACTAGGAGAATTTCGAACCGTTCTGAAAAGCGAATTGAAATTAGCGGAAAATTAGGATTATTACGCAATCCCTAAATTTCGAACCATTCTGAAAAAGCGAACCGTTCTGAACCGTTCTGAAAAGCGAACTGAATTTTTCGGAGAATTAGGATTATTACGCAATCCCTCTTTTAGCGGAAAAGTAACCATTGACCATTTGACTTTCTCCGAACCGAACTGAACTGAACCGAACCGAAAAAATAATTGGTACGGTTCTGGAGATTTCACAAATATGCGTGCCGAGAACCGAACCGAACCGTCTCATACCGTACCGAACCGAAAACCCGAAATTAAGAACAGAGTAATAACATTAGGTGTGTTATTAATATATTTTATGTCAACTTTGATCCTATATAATATAGTAATAAATATTAATCTTCACGTAAATTTTATACTTAGTAATACTTGATCTACAATTGAATTTTATTTATTATAATGTAATTATTTATTTAAAATAATATGAAAGGTTAAAAACTATTTTTTTTAAAAAATATTATATTTTGTTTATATTTTAAATTTCCAATATTAGTTGCACAAATTTAGTCTTAACTAAATCCAGAGTTACTTCTAAAGTTGATTTCAAAATAAAATCTAAGGAAGTATTGATTTTTTTTCCCAAAGCGACATAAAATTTTATAGATCAAAACGCACAAATGTGCAAATTACAACTTATAGCCGCTGCCAAAAGCTGAATAAACTGGGAGGACTGGTCCGAAGACCGCCTAAATCCGACACTAGCAACGCTAGAATCCCAAAACAAAACACATCACAAAAACTACCAAAATAACTACGAAGCTCCCAACAGGAGAATCTACTAGCTCCCAACAGGAGAATCAACCGTGAGACCAACGGCCCAAACTAAAAACACGAGACCTACGAAACAAACAAACAAAGCAAAAGAACAGAAACACGAAACTACCAAACAAACAAAACAACATCAACAAAATAAACGAGCCCTTCCAAAGAAGCTACACCAAACCGAACCAGTGGAAAAGAAGCAACTGTGAATCCCGCAGCTAGAAGAACCGACCCCGAAACTGCCCAAACCACTCGGTTGCCTAACGGTGCCAAAACCCTAACCCTAGAATAGCACCAAGCCACCCCACTCCACGACCACAACACTCGAATGCCCCAGACGGACAAAAGGGTGTCGCGACCGCAACACCCAACCCTGAACCACATGGAATCTGACCGAGGCCACCTCACCGTCGGAAGTATTGATGAATGTTGGTTTTATTAAAGCATATAAATACTAAATTTTAGAGTTACTTCTAAAATTGATTTCAAAATAAAATCTTCAATATGATAAATTATGGATGAATGTTGTTTTTTTAAAGCATATAAATATTAAAATATAACAAGGTAGTCATTAACAAAAAATTAAAACAATAAAAAATCTTCGAAGATCCGAACCAAACACACCGAACCGAACCGTCCCAATAGTCCCGAATATCGAACCGAACCGGAAAAAAAAATAAAAATCTCAGAACCGAACTGAACCAACCTTTTGGTACAGTTTCGGAGATCGAATTTTGGGATCTCCGAATTTTGGTAGGGTTTTGGAGATTTATCAATCTCTGAACTGTATCGACCTACGCTCACCCCTAAGTGGGATAGAGTTTGTCGCTCGTTTTTTCCCTCTCATTTTCCCTTTTTTCAGGTCTTACCAAAGCTTCTATGATTTCTTCCTTCTTGCACCTCAGTCCTTATGGCAGAACACATCACGGCAAAGCTCGAATCAATCCAACTCTCAGAGAAAGAGAATGCAGTTATTGGGTTAAGAACAGACGATATAATCCATTCTCCGAAGAATGTTCGAGAAGCCTTTTTGGCATAATCATAGGCCAAAAAAGAGCTAATTTAATTGGATTACGCATGGATTGGGCAGATGTGGCAAATCAAATCCTCAGTCACAGTTGGAAATTAAACAAAACTTCTTTCAATTTGTATTAGCCGAAATAGAGGACAAAGTTAAGGTGAGTAAAGGCCTCAACTGGACGTTTGAAAACCAACTTTTATTGCTCAAAGAATGGTCAGAAGGAATCTCAGCAGATCACCCTTGTTTATAAGAAGTCGAGATGTGGGTCCAAGGGTGGAATATCCCACTACACTGGATATCGGCTGAGGTTGGTCTGAAACTGGGAAGTGCTTTTAAGAGAATTCTTGATGTGAATGTGCCTCAAGGAGGTCCCTTAGGCAGAAAATGTACAAGGATGCTTGTAGCTCTAGACTTGAATCAACCCCTGCTCAGATGCACTAAACTCCAACTCGATAAAAAAAGAATACTAGTTCTTTTCAAATATGAGAGATTAGTCAATTTTTGCTCCTACTGTGGATGTTTGGGACATACTGATCGAACCTGTGATAAAAGAACTTCAGACATTGTCGAAGGCAGAATCTTAACAGGGATGTATGGGGATGGCTTAAAGCTACAGAGATATCTCACTATGCTTCTTCATTCTACTCCCCTAATACCAACACAGATATTGAAAATAACCGCACATCCCTGAAACCAAGTAACCAAAGTACTAGCTAACCTCAGAAATTATCAAAACTCCCACAACCAACTTGCAACCAGAATCCTCTCACACCACAGTTCACCCTACCAACTCTCCAACAAATACACCCACCCCGCAACCATCAGAAATCAACCCAAAAATGCAAAATCAAGATCACTCTGAAGTCTAAACCCGCAAACCAAGATATGGACACAGAAACCACAAGCTCACCAAAACTAGCAATCATCATCTCAGACCAGATGAAGAAACCCCTCTCCCCCACTGAAGATAAAACTAGAAGCAAGGGTTGGAAAAGAAAACCTCAAACAGGTATCAAGATTTAGGAACAACCTTCACCCAGAACTTTCAGAAAGAAGAGACAAGTTCAGATCCCTCATCTCAAAACATGAATCATGAGGAACCTCAGTTTCCTGAAATCACGAAAAGGCAAAAAGTGTAGACTGCAGAGGTGTTGGAGGCCAGCCCCAAATGGCCCCACCATGACCAATGAGAGCTGCGATGTGGAACTGTAGAGGTGTGGGTGGACCCTCTACAGTTCCCCAGATCAAGGAGATTTGGAAGCTCCATCATCCTTATTTTGTATTTTTATCTGAAACTAAGAAAAAAAAATACTTTTATTAATACTATGTGCATAAATTTAGAAGTTAGTAATCAATGGATTTCAGTGGAACCACAAGGCAGAGTGGTGGTCTCTTTTTGTTTTGGGACAGTAATGTCCAATTTTTTCAAATAACAAAGCACAGTTTTTGCATTGAAGTGGAGTTCTGGGATGAAGCTCAAGAAAAGTCTGTTGGGCCATGTTTGTATATGCCAACAATGATAAACAAGAAAGGCAAAATCAGTGGGAGTATCTTATATCAGCTAAACAGCAGTGGGGAAAATATTGGTTCATGTCAGGAGTTTCA